AAGATTCGAATCTTACCATCTTCTGCACCACAACTAAAAATATTACCACACGATGCCACAGAGACAGAGTGGGCTAGAGCAGGGTTTAAGAGCTGACCAGGTGATTGTGGGCTTTCCATTTCTTCTGTTTCATCCTCTTGTAAATTTGTAATCCACAGTGGCCGGGCTTTCTGAAGATTCCACAGCATCACCTTAAAATAAGAAGTTATAAAGTCATACAGTTCTAGCCATTTTGTTCAACTGTTGTGCTTATTCAGCTTCTAATAAAATTATCAAAGTAATGTGAGAAAGATCAGTAGGAAACATCCCAGCAATATTACAAAAGAAAAAAAAAAAATCAGATGCTACCACAATATGTCAATGGAATACTACTGTGGGACTAATACTAAAATGCAGATGGGAAGTAAGGTAGACTTACAGAACAAGATCCTGAAACTTTTGATTAACAAACCCCACTAGACTTCTGGTCAAGATGGCAGAGTAGACAGTCCCCAGAGTCACTCTCTCCACAAATCAACCAATTCACAACTATAGAAAAGCAACAACAGCCAAGCTGGGGCTGCTGGAGCTCAGGGGAAGAAGAGAGACCTATGGAGTGCATGAAGGCGGGAGAAGCCACTATGAGAGAAAGAAAAAACTGCTCTGACCGTTTCTAGCCCTGGCCATGCCCAGGCTGGAGTTGCTGAGCTCAAGGAGCAGGAGCCAGCAAAACCAGCAAAAGCCGTAGCTGTGCCGTTCGGATGAAGTTGCTTGGAGGCGGCAGGGGAGAAGAGGGCCTTGGTGGCCCCCAGGCCAGCAAGACCACTAATAGGGCTCCCGTGGACCCACATAGGAGTGAGAAGCCACAACAACTGAGAAAAAGGAGCCACTCAGAGGCTGGTGAGTTATCACAAGGGACCAGCGCATGGCTCGTCCCATGGGAAGTGTTTGCAGCATGGGTGGTGGGGAAGAAAGGCCCACCTGGAGAACACTGGGGCACAGCAAGGACAGCTGATCTGCACCCCAATCAGCAAAGGACCACTCAGAGGAGACTGGTCGGGAATGCAGAATTGCATGGGGTGCAGTTTGATGAAAAGACTCAGGCCCAGACCAGAGTTTCTACACAACCCAGGTGCACCAGGTCTCTGGAGAGCCAGAAGTACCTATAAAGTCAACCATTAAAACCTGAGCTGAACAAAAAGACTTCCCTAGGGAATCAGCAGCAAAGCAGCAATTTAGCTCAACCACAGAACTCAAGTACCGGTCCCCACAGGAAGTTCCCCATTTTAGAAGTAAGCAAAGGACAACAAATTATTTCCAGTGCAGAGTTAAATGATGGGAACAGCAAATAATCCAACACAGAAATGAAAGAAAAAACAAAGTACCGACAACCAGAGATGAAGTTTCATATTAACTAGTAAAGGTCTCACTCCACCAAAGAACACCTATAACACCTAGAAGGACCAGAAGTCCCCTGGCATATCAAACCAGAAAGGGGGGAGTTCTGGGGGCCTCAGCCATACCCCCCACACCCATAACCAATCCCGAGGGTGGGGGCCTTGGGCCTCAGCCATGCC